GCTATCTGAACAGTTCATGTCTTAGAAAAAGTATTATTTTAATGTTTTAGAGTTCCTCGAGGGATAAATTCACGCTTTTGTAGCAAAACTCAGTGACGGGTGTTTCTGTTGGTTTCCGGCCGCCATGTTGGTGCCCATAGGGATGGGCACCAGCAAAGGTCCCTTATTTTTTCTGGGGTTCCGCCATATGTTTGCCTTGCTCGCGAAATTATTGCTCGGAATGGTTTGAGATGGTTTGAAAACGACACCGTTAGGACCACCCCCCTTCTCTCCCTGTACTGAAGTCCTTACCTAGTCGGAGGCCCCTCGTAGGCCGGCGGGGGGGGGNGTTTGGGAATTTCTGGGTGGAGATGTGCCGCTGGGACCCTGGAACCCTTAGCCTCTACCAGAGCTACTTCAGCTGAATTTTGCTAACCTATACTAGAGTAAACTCCCCAAATCCCCCCATCTATGGACACTGTTGAGGCTGATTTGCGTAAATTTAAACTTGCCGATTTGATTTTATTACATTTTTGGGTGGTGATTCCTGGTTTCCTTACTCAAGATAAAATTTTCAACCAAGCAGTCAGTTTTGTGAAAAATGATACCCTATTCGAGACCCAAACGCTCTGATTAAACTGCTTGAAAACCATACCCTTCACAGCGGCACATACCTATATAGCCCATATATGGCAGTGCCACCCCGAGCTCGTAGGCTAGCACTGAAATGGAAGGAAACACGGGGTTTTTGTTATTACGGGATGGAACGTTTTGTAAGATCGATCTGGGAAATGGAACATTGGATAAGTTTCTCCTGCGAGTTCTAAACAGGTGAAACGTTCCCAGCAAAAATTTAAATAACCGGACTCTGTATCTCTGTATCTTGGGGACCTTGGGGTCTGCCTAATGTGCGAGCCAGCGAGCCATGCGAGTCATGCGAGCCAGGGTGCGAGTCATGCGAGCCACGGTTTTAACGTGAAAAAAAATATTAAATAACGAATATTATTATCCCACTGCAGCGACTACCGTCCAAATAACAGTACAAATATAAAGCGATACTACACACCAAACATCTAGTAAAGAGATTTAAATAAATTTATCAGTGAAAGAGGGAGAGTGTGACAGTATTGTGTGCGCACGCTGACCTGTACGGCAAACAGGTTTTCTACTGTACAAATA